TCGGCGGTCCCCGGTTTGTTTTCTTAGTGCCTCTGGTGTCTTTTCCAGTGTGTCTGCTGCCGGCTGAGCTCTGCATTCCCACACGCAAAAAAACCCCACCCCACCCCCCCAGCAGATTCGGTGTCATCGTGAGTGCTGGAATACGCTTCTCGACCGATAGAGCGCTGGCGTGCTCACAGGCAAGCTCAGCAGAACAAGGCTCTGGGAGCATCCATGAGTTCTCATAAACACTGTGTCTGTACAGCAAAATGTCGCTTTACCGGACAAATAAAGAATACTGAACAAAGTAAGATTAATTCGGTTGATCCTAATGCAGCTCTAAATGCTGAATAGCACAGGCAGATTCCTGTGGAAGGTTTTGACCTAATACCGACGTGTCTCATTTTTGGATAGGCCACCAAATAGCCAAGGCAACTGATCAGTAACCTGACCATGCCTCTAGGCCAGCATTTAGCACTTTTATTTAAGGTCCAGCAATTTTGCTTTGTTTAGACATGTAGTGAGAACATTTATTTAGAGGCCTCTTTTGAATGTTTTTCAGCCACGGTTTATAAACTTTTCAACTCTTGGATACTTTACCTCGTTTCCACAGCCATCTCCTAAATTTTTATCCTCAGTTTGTAACTCATCTCCCCTATCTTGGCTTCCTCTGAATTTTAGTGCTGCTTCCCCTTCCTGTCTGCCAGATAACTAACAGTACTAGCAATTCATTTATTACTTTACCCAAAATTGGCTACAGTGAAAGTTTCCATAATGATTTATTTCATCAACAGTGTACATTTAACTACAGTGTATTTCCTTCTTTGCAGCAGTTTCTAACTACACACACAAGAACCCAAGTACTTTTGTACTTTTTTCCTTATGGAGTGCAACAAGTATTCCCTGACCTAAGAATGAGTAGGGCAATATTCCTACTGTTTGCTATAGCAGTTGCCCCAGCAGGAGGCGCAAGCATTTTTTGTTTGGTTATTGAAAGAAGTAGCATCTATGCTGTAGCAGAACTAGCTGTCATAATCCAGCTCTGATAGATCAGGATTTCTTTTTTTCCCAGCATCCACCAGTTCTTCAGTCTCACTGGAGACTGAAAAACTGTTTTTAACATCACCTGTGCTTCTCAAAACTTAATGCCTGTGCTAAACCAAAGTTTAACAACTCTTATCATCTTATTCTTGCTTCTTTCATCATACTATGCACATCGTGTTCTTTTGTGAATCTGTCACTCTCACTCTCACAGTTAACTAGTTTGGCAAACTAAAAGGAGAGAAATTCCAGCTGATTATCAAGAGCCAGGAAATTTGCTTTTTTTACAATAGTTACGTGTTACCTGTGCTGCTGCTTTGGGGCTTCCAGCTGTTCAGTACTGAAGGGGTTGCTTGCTGTTGAAGTGGAGGTAGGAGGGCAATTCCTGCCACCTTTGAGTTCACAAGCATAGGAAACAGAAGCTTCACTCTTAGCACAGTCTCTTTGGTTTTCTTCATTGTCAGAAAGCTCAAGCAAGTTCACAGCACTGTTATTAGCTGTTTGGCATAAACACAAGAGATATTTATAAATCAGCATTAGCAATTTGTGTAAACAGTAGGAATATAGCTGTGACTTTCAGCTCCCTGAAGACAGGGACCCCTTCTTAACCTTCATGTGGAAGATTTTAAGTAGAAATGACACAGTTTCTAGCCTCACATCCAAGCAACCTTGAACTTCAGTAAGTTAAATTCTGCAAATAGCCCCTGTCCCTATAACAGACAAAGCCCAAATGCTGTATTTAACACTGAGAACTGAGAAATTGATAACCATATCATTTGTATCTACTCATGTTCCCGTTTACAACTGGAGCATGATTTTATCTGCCTGCTTTGTCACAAGTAACTCAAAGATACTAAGGCATATATTATTGTGATCATCTGTTACACTGTAATCTAGCTGAGACTCAAAGGATGGGTTTGGCTCTCAGGACACTGCTATTTAGTGCTCTACTTGGAGGCAAAAATGGCAGTTCAAACAACGAATATTGTCCCAACAGCTGAATGTGTCTTTGTGCATTTGTCAGAGATTGATACAAAGCTGACAGCTGGTTCTGCCAGTAGAAGTAGGAAGCAGAGGACTGTTTGTAATAACTGCTCTTTTTGGGGGACAGCAGTGGATCATATAGGAGTGATGTCTAAGGCATGTGTCTGGCACCCAGTTACTACTGAGGCTGGAGTATATCAATCCACTCTAAACTAGTCTTTCAAAGGATGGTCATGCTTAAGTTATGTATACTTTAAAATGTTGCATAGCAATGCTGAGCAGTAACTGTATAGTTACAGTTATTACATCAATTTAGATTTTTTTAAAATACGCAAAGTTCAAATAGAAATCAAATAACATTCAAGATCTGGAAAGCATTGAAGAAAGAGAAAAATGGCTACTCTTGTCATGCAGTACATCTACTTTGATTCACTGATATTTTGCACGTACTTTGCAAAAGATCACAGAGATTCTAAACTGTAGGAACTGTGTTAGAAAAAAAATCTGTTTTTCCTTAGGGCGCTGGTTCAGATTCTCCCTCATCAATGGTGTCTGTTCGTATCTCAGCCAGAACGGATCTGTGTGGTCTGTGGCCTTGACTGGCTTTTGCGGAGCCAGTTCCTGAGCTCCAGGTGCTTCTAAACAAAGTGGCTCAGAGCAGACCTGGTCCCTGGTCCTGGCCTGGCTCTGTAACACGCTTCCAGACCTGTCAGAGTCATCTTTGGGGTACAGGATTCTGTACTACAGCTGTCATGCACTTCTGCTAATTTCTAGACTGCCCAATCCCACAGCTATGAGAGAGATAATTCATACATGAATTACAGTGTGGTTCCTGCCACATTGGTTCTCAGATTGTCCAGAGCAGGAATATGGTGAGGGTTTGCTGGAGTTA